TCTTTCCTTAAATCTTTAAACCTTCAGAGTAATATGATAAGATATACAGGAGCAATACTGCAATAGCTTTGGCAAAGGCTCTGTAATCAAATTCTTCTTTAATATCTTCAGAGTAATCAGATAGGAGATACAGGAGCAGATTTTGGCAAAGGCTCTGGAATCAAAGTTACTCTTAACATGTGATAGTGATAGTTCACATTATTTATTATTTATTATTTATTATTTATCTTTATTAAATACACATTTGAAAACCTGTTTATAAACTTATATACTCTTATTTTTGTACTTACAAGAACAGTGGTTAATATTAATATTCAACTGTGGACATTCAAAATATGTTTGTGAGCAGTTACTGCCCAAGGGATTTATTTAATTAATCAAGACTTTTAATAACTACAAAAGCATCTGTTTGAGTTTTTCTTTTCTGTCAACATCTGAATTTGACTAAATATTAACAACTGAATAAAGCATGCTCAAATATTATAATGTCTGAAACATATTACTAATATTTATAAGTTATAAGGCATGTAAAGTTCTAAGAAAGTATGATAATATTTTTCTAGTGAATAGAATGTAATTTTTCCCCATGTTGTTGTTGGATATCCAAGTCCAGAGTGATGGAAGTATTTAATAATAGGTAATTTGTATGTATTTATTATTTGATATAGACCAATTATTTTTGTGTAAACAAAAGCATCTCGTTTATTGCTAGTAATAAAAGTCTAAAGAGGAAAAGGGGCTGTTTAATTAGGTATTATTCTACTTCGTTATACGATGTAGGATCTAAATTAGTCGTTGTTAAGTCGAAAATTTTTCGCTGTATTAGATGACGTAATTCTTGCTTTACGGATTGTTTTCGAAGACTCAGTAGTAGATTTATTTTTTTTTTGGTCAAGTTGAGATTGATCTGTTGGGGAGACGTATTTTTATCACGTTGACTTATATTTTTATCGATGATGATCTGATCAACGTAACTGCTTTTGTGTGGCAGAAGATTAGGAAGATGGTCATATACCATCAATCGGGCTTTTATATATTTACCATACACGAAGGAATTAGACTTTAGCGGTAATCGCTCGCGTTATGAAATCAGGCATATAAAACCAGATTCAGGAAATCAAAAAAAAAAGTATGTAATACATGTTTGCGCACAAAAAAAAAGGGTTGAAGTCATAGAAAACAAGTTGAAGTATCGACAAGCTAATTAAGAGGAAACTTTTCAACAAAGGAGGCAAACACCAAGTTGCAAAAAAAAAAAAAAAAAACTACAAGTTTTCTGATTGGGTGAGTTGTTTTAAAACTATTGTGGTAGTTGATACAAGTTAGAAAATATCGAGATTACACTTCAGTTAATAAATTTACGATGTATTTTAATTTATCATTCAAAAATATTACTATCTTTGGGGTTCATTGTATAGATGACCACCGTCAACCTTTGGTATCTTAGATCAAAACAAATCGTCATTTTATATAGTTTGTTCAGCCATCCCTAAACGTTCGATACATCTTATTTCCAAGTAAACACACCAGCAATCATAATCGTTTTTCAATAAATTGAAATTCTACTAGGATGTCACGGATATAAGAGACGAACAAGCTTCTCGGTTTTCATCCTGTTTTGAAATAATGTAAACACAAATTATTTTAGTATCCGTTGCCCCATATCAATTTAATGGCAAGTCTTAAATGGTGCTAGTTTTTAATTATTGGTGCAGTGATTGGTAAATGGGACCCGTTACGCCAAATTATCTTTATATAGTAAATCTGATAACAATGATGTAGTACAATTAAATTGTAATGAGATTATTCTATAGATTATCTGTCACGTTCTACAAGTTATTGTTTATACCGACAGTTGTTACATGTTCCGTATACTAATACGGTAATAGCGGTGAGAGCCGAAGATCTTTATCTGCAGGATCCTGCAAACATAAAAAAACGTATGCAACCTAGTTATTTCTTTTATCTCCCATACGCGGAACATGTCCAAGTATGCGCACAAAGAGTGGCTAAATGAGAGCCTGAGAGAAGGTTTAATCGAGTGTTGTTCAGATGAAGACATCATTATCCACCCTATGCCTATAGGTCGTGGTGCATATGGTGTAGTCTATAAGGCCAAAATGAAGGCTTCTGGAACGACCGTTGCAATGAAAACTTTGTTTTTTGAGGAGGGCAGTTGTAAAGAAGATTTAATTAAAGAGCTTGTCAAAGAGGTTAGTTAGCATTACGTGTCTACATTGTTTATTGTTTAAAGTTTAAACCAACAAGTTCTAAAATTCCGTACGCATATAATAATAGTTGAAAAATCACAAGCGAATGAACAATCATCCCAACATCATTCGTTTTTTTTGTTTGTGCAAAGGTGTGTTTGACAATGTTCGACAGTATCAAGTGTTTACCAAAAAAAATACCATAGTTTAACAATAACGTTTATAGATGGGCATGGCAATTACAATATGATATGTGAATATGCCGACGGTGGGACCTTGCATAAACACCTTGTGACGCACTTTGATAGTCTATCCTGGAGAAACAAATACCAGCTGGGTTTGGAGATTACCAATGGCCTAAGATATTTACATGAGCTCAACATCATTCACAAGGACTTGGTATTGTGGTTTTTTTTCTTTATTGTTTTCTGTACACTGTCATGTGATGCAATCTAATAATGTATGTCATTGTATCTAGTCTTCCACGAATGTCCTTATCCAGAATGGCGTCGCGAAGATAGCCGATTTCGGTTTATCCACCGTATTAGAACAGATCACGTCTACATCAAAGGGTAAGGGCAACGCAGCATATGTTGATCCGGTATCGATAAAGAGTGCTTCCATCAAGAATGTTTCCTATCGGCGTGGAAAGAGATCCGACATTTTTAGCCTGGGAGTAATACTATGGGAAATCTCTAGTGGAAAATTTCCATGCGAAGGCTGCACTCAAAGTTTCGAAATTGTTATATACAGACTGAATGGTTTTCGCGACCCACCCGTTTTTGGAACGCCTGAAGAGTATATCTTGCTGTATTCGGAATGTTGGGACGAGAACCCTAACAGACGACCATTATGTGAAGAAGTATACGAAAGGCTTAAACTATTGTTGAAATTGATCGATCTCGACAAGTCATTGGAAACTGATTCTAACAATGCTAGGGCATTGGGACAAAGAGGGGAAGCTTATTACACGCTTAAAAAGTATGACGACGCCTTACATGATTTTAATAAATTGTTGAACATGGAACCAAATAACGAATGGGCTTTGAGTAGAAGAGGGGCCATATATTGCATGTTTGATCAGTATGATGACGCATTGAAAGATTTTAATAAATCATTGGAGACTGAACCGAACGATGCGTGGACGTTAAACAGAAGAGGATACGTCAACTACATGCTTGGACAGTATGACGACGCATTGAACGACCTCAATAGATCGTTAGAGATTGAACCAAATAACGCATGGGCATTGGGTAGAAGAGGAGAAATCTACTGCATGCTCGGTCAGAATGAGAATGCATTAAATGATCTCAACAAGTCGCTCGAAATTGAACCCAACGATGCATGGACATTGAGTAGAAGGGGAGAAATCTATTGCACGCTTTGTCAATATGACGATGCACTAAACGACTTTAACAAGTCGCTGGAGATGGAACCAGATAGCACATTTGCCTTGAAGGGAAGGGGAGAAGTCTATTGCATGCTCTATCAATATAACAACGCACTAAATGATTTCAACAAATCGTTGGATATCGAACCAAACGATGCGTGGGCATTAAGCAGAAGGGGAAACTGCTATTGCGTGCTTCGCCAGTATGACAATGCATTGAACGATCTCAACAAATCGTTAGAGTTTGAACCAGATGATGAATGGGCTTTGAGCAGAAGAGGGAGAGTCTACTATACGCTCCATCAGTTTGGCAATGCGTTGAATGATTTTGATAAGGCCTTGGAGATTGAACCCAATTATGTATGGGCATTAAGCAGAAGAGGAGAAGTCTATCGTTTACTTGAACATTATGACAGTGCGCTGAACGATCTCAACAAGTCATTGGAAATTCAACCAGATGATACGTGGGCACTGAGAATACGAGGGAACATTAATTGCATGCTTTATCGATTTGAAAACGCGTTGAGCGATCTTAGTAAATTATTAGAGATTGAACCAAATAATACGTGGGCATTGAGAACACGAGCAGCTATCTATCACCAGCTTCATCAATATGATAATGCATTACACGATCTGAATAAGTCGATGGAAATCGATCCGCACAACACATGGGCTTTGAATAAAAGGGGAGAAGTTTGTTACTGGCTTAATCAGTACGATAATTCATCGAGATCGCAACTACTTTATTAGAACGGTTTTGGCGCTCGCCGTGATGATGTAATGATATACATCTTAGTCGGCATTTTGCTTCTACCATTTTACTTGAAAGGGTTGGCATATATATAGATTATACATTTTGTATTGCAGGACTTTTTAATCAACATCGGTTCTGCTTCTGTTAATTGACAAACTCGAGAATGTTTCTTCTTTCAATTATTATTATTATTAATTTATTATTCCAGTTTAGCTTCTTGCTTAGTATTTAAATATATCGTTTTTAACATTAGTATATTTAGTAATATAATTATTACATTTCAATCAATTCTTAACAGTCATTGAGAATGCTGTAAATGCAGTGACTCTGACACAAATTCTTTACTTGTACAAATAAATACTAAAAACTATTATACGCAAAAAAAAACAAACAAACAAATAAGTAATACAAAAAAGTAATACAAAAAAGTCACCGCGATTCTCGTATCATTGTGTATATAAATTAATGAAAATGAAATCTAACAAATCACTGTAAACGCAACCTCGTTTTCTTTCCCACCCATTATTAATCGTCTTCAATGTCGCTTAAAGCCGCCCCACCGAACAATTCACTCGGCAAATTTAAGCTCAACCCATCTCCGGGTTGCCAAGTTGCTCGATGTAATAGTTTAATGCTTTCCCTATTCCTAGCCCTTTGTTCTGCCCTTCTTCTTGCTTTTTCTTCTTCCTCATCCTCTGGAGTTGTTAATGTCGGAACCTTATCGCGCTCTGCTTCTTTTATTCTCCTCATCTCTTGTCTGATAGACATTGAATTCTCAAGACATTCGACGTATGTAGAATATTTTACTATTTCGTGTAGTAGCCATTGTGATTTCCTCTCCCAGTTTGAAGTGACTTTCGCATTGTTTGTCGATCGAGACGGGAACTGTTTGTGAGGCGAGTTGTGTGAAGTCGGTTTTAATTGGGTTAGATTGTGAATGAAAATACAAAAGCCAATCCAAAAAAGTCTCACGAAAATCTCGTTTTATAAGAAACATACCATTTTGAGCATTGGTTCACGATAATGTTTGTGTTCTTCCAATTCGCTCTCGAGATCTATCATGTGTTTCTTTAGAGCTGCTAATTGAGATTCCTATAAAGTGGTCAAAAATTATCAATTAATTAACCTTTACATTTCCCGTCTATCAATACACCCTACCAATGCTCCACTACCCCGTACTCACCTCATCAAGCGTACTAGAAACTAACGGTGGCATCGGAGCTTTCCATTCGCTGATAAGAATCTTATCGCTCGAAAATCCAGACCCTCCAGAAAGCACACTCCGCACATCACTTCTCGAATCACTCATTATGCTCCTCCGATCCTCCGTATCAATCATACTGCCATCCAAATACGGCTCTATGCATCTTCCCCAGCCATATTCCATATTACTAACACCACCAGTCAAAGGTTCTTTCGACGACCGCGCCGCCCAATAGTTACACGTTGCTACCCATTCGTCAACTAGCTCTGCAGTGCCACATTGGAAGAAATATAGACCGCCTTGCGAAAGTGAGAGTGCCAAGACGTATGGACGAGTGCGATTGTAACCGGGTGGAGGCAGTGCGCTGGAGATTGTGTGGCGAAGACTTAACTCTCCTAAAAGAGTGGCGTTATCCTAGAAAGTAAAGTGCAAAAATAATTAATTGGAAAGGTTAAACGTTGGATTAAAGATAGATAATTATGTATAAACGTATGTTATACTTGGTATGGTAATATAACCAAACGTATTATAAGCTACTGGATGCAATCTCTAACACGCCTCTTTAACGTAACTTTGACTTACCATCCAATTTCCACCACCGACAATTTTATTTCTGCCTTTTTCCCCATTACTTGTTCCGAAAGACTCAAGTTTATACATTCTCAATTCGCCTTTTTCCACCGCCACAAACGTCTCTCTCCACTTATTATCCTTTGCTCTCTTATTCGCTGCCTCCCAGTAATGCTTCTTTACCAACAACCCTTCCTTTGCAAACGGAGCACCCGAGAGGTAGAGTTCGAGCGATTCGGACGTTGACGTGGAATCCGCCACAGAGACCGAGTCATCTTCCATGCCGGTCAAGTTTTGGTCTGAATTGGTTTCGCCATTTTCTGTCGATGTACTGTGGTGATGGTTGTTCGAACCAGATAAAGCCGCCTGGAGGGTTTGATAGCTTGAGCGGCGGGACATGTTATTCTGCTAATAGATATTTGTGGACGCAGTCATTTAATATAAGAACGTTAGTATCACGTATTCATGGGAGAAAATGCTTGAGGCTCGATGCACTTACATCATATTCACTTCCATTTCCAGAACTCGACGACGAATTTCTTCCGTTTATACGCGACTTTAAACTCGCCGCACTCAATCCTTTCCTTAATACGTTTATTCTTGTGTTTGGATGTCCTAAATGGCTCATACTTCTATTTAATGACGGAGTCAATCTTGTAGTATCTTGTGGCGTTTCCGAATCGGTTGATAGACGTGGCTGTTGTATCATATTCGACTTTATCGCCGAATACATTTCTTTTAATAAAGATTCCATTTCTGTATCCCATTGCCGCGAATAACCTGGCGATGTGGAAGATCCAAAATGTACGAGACTCGTGAAACTGGCATTAGGGTTACTCATCCAGCTTCGTATTGATGCGCTGCGGCGTGGTCGGGCAGTTGCCGATGTGCCGGTAGTGGTTGTTTCTATCGAGGCTATGGTCGATTGATCGTCTTCGTAATCGGGCGAACTTGGTTGGGATAAAGCAATCGTAGCTTGTGCATGTACTGTGGCCATCGTGTTGCGTATGAATTGTTTTTGAGACATTTTTTTGGGTACTTCAGCAATGTGAAGATCTGTATTTAGTAAGAGAATTGAATATGCTATTGCATGGACCGTGTCTAGAAAGACGTAGAATGAGACCAGATGTTAGGAATTTATGTAATTGTCGTATTATCAAAGCTCCCTGCTTGATTATCCAAATTTACCTCCACTCCCATATACAGTCTTTGGATTACATTCCCAATATCTTTGTGAGAAAGCTTCTAATACTCTATCTACTTGTTGTGTTTCTCCTTTTATATACAAGTTAGCACACAATCGTCTGCATACGAGCATAATCACAATTTTTTTTCAGTTAATAACGTCGATGATGATAATATGTTCGTTAACCAAACCAAAACTCTTACCGAAATGCATTATCTAGTCTTAAACCAGTAAAGTCAAAGTATTCCATATAACACTTCAATGCACGACGACTAATGTCCTTACTTGAATTTAAAAAAAAAAGAAAAAAGAAAAGGCTTAGTATATATACACGCGCATCTTGCAAGACATATGAACGGGCCCTATTGACAATTACATCACTTTTGCCCGCTCTTCATTCCACCCGTCTCCCTAATACTTACGTTCCGCCTAAAAATTCTGTAACTTTTTCTTTCTTCATAGACGTTTCGTTATCGTCAAAACACCGCTTGGCTGCATTCCTTGCCTGAGCCCACCTAAACTCTTCCTCATCCCTCTCCTCTGGTACGCCTGGTACCGTATCGATGCTCTCTACCGGACTTGCCAACATGGCCTCATCCACATGTATCTTGGGCGTAGACTCATCATTCAAGTCAAACTTTTCAGTCAGAGCCGATATAGTTAACTCGATCGTTGGACTCCCAACTATAGTCCCATCAATTTCAGTTGTCGGCGATGGTGGAGCCGTATGAAGAGTTGCAGTAGAACCGCTGGCTGTTTCGTAGCAAGAACTGGCTATACTCGATGATTGGCGCCCGCGGTCAGTTGACGTTGTAGATACGAACGTTAGCGGAGGAGAAGAGGGCGGAGAGGTAGTCCTGGGAAGTTCAGGTAATCTCTTATCCGGACGTTTTGGAGATCTTAGATTTACGGAATCACTTGCGGACTCTATATCGGACCGGGATGATTTGTTGAATAAACCCTTCTCCTCAGCCGCCGCCATTAACGACCCTACGGAAAATGTCATTTCTGTTTCTTCCTGCGGCTCGTTCTTGCTTCTCTGTGTTGTCAATACATTTCTCCTCTCGGCTAATACTTGTGCAGTTGTCGACATTCCCTTTTCCTCTGCCTCCGCCATAAGCGAACCGGGTGAAAATAGTGAATTTTGTGATTTGTTGTCGGATGTGCCAATACTTGTTGGGCGAGATGGGGTAGGTGAAGTGAATGACGGGAAAACCGGATTTGTAGTCGATAGAAACGATGTGGGTTTGTCGTCATCGGACGAAGAGAATGGACCCGGTGATGCAGGGTTTAATTGTAGCCCTAAAGGAACGTCTTCGAGTTTTGCTACTGGGATATTTTCTTCAGAGTCTTTGTTAGAAGGAATTGGTGTGTAGAGAATGAGAATTAGATTGACACTTAATCGATAATATAACATACGCTCCGATTTAATGTACAGTTTTGCATAAATTGAGATTCATTAGTTCCACACACACGTTGCATATTTCTTATGAAACACACGTAGACTCTCCTCCTTCCCTCCAATTCATTCACCCTCTCATTTGTTGTTACCTGTTCGTCGGCCTTTAGTCACTTTTCGCACATTATGTTTTTTACTTTCTCCAAGACTAGACTCAAACATTGTACTCCTTTTTTCTACGATTTGTTTATCGAAAGTTTCTCTTTTCATATCACTAACCCCATCCAGATTGAAATATTCAAGTCGACCTATGTAGTCGGGCATGCTTTTGTTAGCATTAAGCTTCATTTTATACATGTTTGATCGTCTCTTTTCTTTGTTGTTACTGCTATCAGTAAAGTCTAGATCTAATTGATCTAATTGCAAACATGCATACACAGGTGCAAAATCATTTAATGTTCTTTGGAGATTTTCATGCTCGTCGTTTGATTTGGGATAGGATGTACGTTTGGTGGGTGATTTTGGGGGGAGTGGTGGTGGTGGTGATGGTGAGGGAAATGCGCCCTCCTGTGAAGTGTGTATGGATTGTATCGTGAGTTCATCTGCAAAGTTGGGTAGCGGTGGCCGTGTGCGGGTTTGTAATTGATCCGAAGAGGATTGCTGGAGCACGGAAAGCATGGACGTGCAAATAGGCATTGGATAGGGTGTGAGTCGAACAGAAAGGAGGAGGAATGGTCAATATGTGTGTGAGAGTTGATAGCGATGTTACATTACGTAAGCGTGAATTGGACGCTTGTTATTAACATAAATGATTTAATGACAGATTGTATGAAAAATAAAAGCTAGCCGTTATCATTTAAGTTCAAATTTATCGGGAATTGACGAATAAACTATGTAATTGACTCTGATCATAATAGAGCATGTTCTCTTTCTAATCCATATTGTCTCGTTACTATTAAATTGTTTCAAGCGTGACAGATCTCCCAGTAATTTTTAACTATAGCCAAGAATAATAAACCGTTCCCAAATAATCTTCATCGTAACCCGGTAATGGAACAAGTATTTACCTTGTTGCCTAGCTTCCTAAAGAAGGTAGAAGTCTTTTTCATAGTCTTCTTCATGGCGACCGAATGTTGGTGTCAATTGTATATGGATACGACGTGAATGAATGTTTATGGACTCGAATAACCCACAGGCATAGGCAAAGCGAGGCAAAGCGAGAGGACAATTATGGATAGAAGGAAGACGGAACTATTGTCACCAATGAATGAATGATGGATATCGAGTTGTACAGCGACATGCAGTGGGACATGAATCGACGTAATCAGCCGGGCCTAGCAATATTAGGGTAAAGGGAGAGCAAGGACGGGTAAACTTGCATGATAAATAACGCTCCATGTGTGAATACGCTGGATATGGTATACAGAGCCATATCGATAGGGCAATGTAAACACCGCAACAAAAAAATTTCGGGGTTCAAACGCTATTTTCTGGACCTTACTTTTGGAAGAGGGTGGAAAATCAGCAGTCACATGTAGCATTCCTCGCTCATTCAGACCATTTAGGAAAATTAAAATTAAGTATGTCTACCAATGGATCAATATTGGGTAGGAACAATAAGTGCATGTCTCCCTTTCAGTATTCATTCGAAAGACTATAGAAATATAAAGATTCGTGCAACTATCAAGTTTACTATGAACTCTAATGCTACGGCGCAATCAATATGCAAGAAAAGCGTGGTGACTGCTGTGAATGCATCAGTAAAAAGGGTTGATCAAGAGCGGAGAGAAACGAAAACGAATAGGACATAGAGTTGACAGTTTAAGTTTATAGTAAATTATGATGAAGTTGAAACATAACATAGGCTATTACTGAAGAGAGTAATAATGATGGATTTACAAAAGTCTATCACTATTACATAATTATAGTATATGCATAAGTAATAAATACCAAAGTAAAGATGATATCAATAAATTTAATGAGAATAAAAATTACGTATCATCAATCATCAATATTAAAACTTTGATAAACATTATTAGAAGGATGAACTATTTCCATCCTATCTGGCAAAATTAACTACCCTCCCTTTCATGTCACATTATCAGAACGATAAGACAAGCGCGCGAATAATAATTATTGTCACAACGTCGATAAATCTAAGATATATCGACATAACATGTACAAATACCCCAACATACCAGGCGCTTCCAATAATTGGTTTGTTACGATATTATTTATTATTGGCCAACTAAAACCGAAAAATGTAGTGTAACTGATGTGTAAAATTGAGATAGCTACACAAAAAGTGTGGCGAGGCATGGCAGAGAAGTAGATTCGGTTGTTAAAGATGTGGGCGATAGATAGCATTGCGGTAAATGTGTAAACACTAAATATCAAATACATATAACTACAACTCAAAATAGTATTATGGTCCATATTAACCGTTCTACCAGTTACTTGAAACAGTGACTCGTTCGCTCATTAGAACGAGATGTATGAAAGATGTCCGAAAGTATTTGCCCTTATCTAGTTTACAATTTTTTCATCAAAGATCATTATTGGTTGTTGTTCCAGTAAGGTTCTAGTCTATGCATCGTAGCTGCTGATCTATTGCCTCAAACAACTTTTTTAGCCAATAATTCGATTGGTATCAATTATTGCACAAACGGTTTAGCATGGCGTATTGGCAAGTAAGAGAAATTAGCTACGCCTTAATTGATGCGGAAGACCACGTTTTTAGAGTTTAAGTTTGAGAATATTTTCGAAATTCGATGCATTATAGTGGTTATTCGTGTTGCACACTTGTTTATTTATCTGGATCCAGAACCAGCATTTACGTTTCCTTTCGGGACATTATTTAAGGAGTAAATAATTAAACGATATATTGCTTATGTAATAGTAATTGTCATAGACATTTGGATTAAAAACAGGTTTACAATCAAGAGATCGAAATCGTACTGCCTGATTGGTTGGTTGAAATATAAATTCTCTTGGTTACATACGAAGTCTTGAGACATCAAATTCCTCAGAGTGGGAAAACAATCCAACTATTAGCTTGTTCTTAGCAGATAGACACAAAAACATTTACAAGTGAGTCTCGACAATCTTGTTATACAGACAGAAACCGTAGAACAAAACATCAATATTACTTAGTTGTTATTATAAAATTAATTCTCGATATAAGGACATACTCGATATAGTGACCATTTGTGTTGGAATTGAGCATGTCGTTATATCGAGATTCACTATCACTTGTATAAACATTATGCTCTGACTAGTTTTGCGACAAGTAATAATTAATGTATGATTGGCTTATTGGTACAATAAATCATTGAAGAGACATGGCTATAATAATAACATTTTCGCAATATTTAATTTGTTTCCAATTACTAATCGTCTGACAGTAAACCTGCTTGAAAGCTAAGTTAAACTCTTAAAATGCTGGTAGAATTGTCAGACCTCAAAATGAAACCAATGCTTGTTTATACTTAGAACATGATTCTCATGTAAATTGGCAAGCAAATTTGGATCAGAAAAACTAAATTTATTTAATTTTATTCGAAAGTTAGTGTACAAATTCTCTTTACTCACAGTTTACTAATTCGTCTAATTATCACCATTCTAAGCAAAATGTAACGACAGTTTAAATTATGGAAAAGCAGCAACTAAGGAAACGAGGTTATTCGCATAGTCGAAATATACGGTATCTTACAAATGTCATAGGAGAGTTTCCGTTATAGTTATATTTTTATCTAACTATTGATATGATTTAAAAACAGGCTTACTTATTTAAAGTAAATATAATATTTCCCAAGGGTGAACGTGGTAGGCAGATTACGAAGATTCTTTTCGCTACCACTTTATTACGATTGATTAATACTCTTGTATTTAGTGAACATGTTATCACATCATACGGTATTAATCAATGTCTAGACGAATATTCCCGAAGCATAATTCTTTATAGACATACTCTATGTAGCATCGAATAGTAAATTGCCTAATAATTACAATTGTGCGCTCTCTCAAACGGTAGAATGAGTGAAAATAATTCAATTTCACTTCGATATCAACCTTTGCTATTGACGTGAGTTGTCGCCTAGGTACGACGTTCATCCATACTCAGAAGCCTATAGACGATGACTAAGTCTTTATTCGAGTCATTTTTTTCAGTGATGATAATTTCATCGTAAGCATAAACAGCCTGCTCCGTCGTTCCAACTGTGTAGACTTCGTCGTGCCGCATATCCATTAACTAACATATCTTCTTTTATCACTCACTAGAACCATCAATTCAAGCATACTAGTCGAATAAGTTGTTTAGTAATCGTTTGCCGCGAAAAATAAGACTTTATTCAGAGTTGACAAAGAACTAGTTCTTTATTGAAACGAATAGTAATATCATAGCATGACTTTTATAATAATAAAGAAATAAATAAAATCGACGTTGACAATGAATGCGAGTATTAATGCGTTTTTAATAAGTCATTAATTGTATTCCAAGTCGTTGTATTTTCAGTCGTGCCGAATTCACCATTTTGGTTAGCTAGATTCAATTAAATTAAGCCAATATTACCAGTACATTTTCAAGGCCTACAACTTATTTCTACTAGCACCAAATAATAACAGAATAATAATTGCCAACATGTAAAAAAGTCAATAATAATTAATATTATTGGTTCGCTTAAATGTATTACACAGGACATGTACGTATACTAGTGACGTAAATAAATATTGCAGAATAACTATTCCGCAGTAGCAATTTAGATAAAACTCGAATAGGTTATACACCTTTTCTGTATAGGATTTTGGTCGAAGGCTCCAACGGAACAATGGAATAACTCTTACGATAGAATAAAACCTATAGGATTGAATACACGTAATACGATGAAAACAACTAATAACTTACAATCAATGGCGAAATCCTAGCAATGTTCTTAGTAATACGATTATACCTAATAACTGCAACAACAATACCGCGCTCGTACAACACCATAATAATAAGTAAATTAACCATTTAACCAAAACGGTTCTATTTATTATGCATATTATTAAATAGGCATGAGTCATTTAAATAGTAATTAATAAATCTCATATCTTAAGACTGTTTTGTGCCGATGTATTTCCATGTTAGCTGTCTTTTGATACCTAATAAGTTTATTATTATGTATGTTCCTTCCATTCCTGTTCCATTCTCATAGCAAACACTGAGATTTTGTAAACAGACATTCTCTTGCTCAGGTGCTCTTGTCTACTTCCCACTTGCATAGTAAAAACCAAGGCCAACTTGTGCATAAGAATGTCCTTGTTCAGCAGCCTTTTGATACAAATCAATTGCTTTTTGTATATCTTTTACAACACCAATTCCATTCTTATAGGAAAGAGCAAGATTGTATTGTGCATTAGCATTTCCTTGTTCAGCTGCCTTCTGATACAACTCAACTGCTTTTTGTGTGTCTTTTCCCACTCCTATTCCCTCCTCATAACAAATACCAAGGTTACATTGTGCAACAGCATTCCCTTGTTCAGCTGCTTTCTCATACAGCTCAACTGCTTTTTGTATGTCTTTTCCCACTCCTGTCCCCTCCTGATAACAAATACCAAGGTTGCATTGTGCAACAGCATCCCCTTGTTCAGCTGCTTTCTCATACAGCTCAACTGCTTTTTGTATGTCTTTTCCCACTCCTGTCCCCTTCTCATAACAAATACCAAGGTTGTTTTGTGCAACAGCATTCCCTTGTTCAGCTGCTTTCTCATACAGCTCAACTGCTTTTTGTATGTCTTTTCCCACTCCTGTCCCCTCCTGATAACAAATACCAAGGTTGCATTGTGCAACAGCATCCCCTTGTTCAGCTGCTTTCTCATACAGCTCAACTGCTTTTTGCATGTCTTTTCCCACTCCTATCCCCTCCTCATAACAAACACCAAGGTTGTATTGTGCTTGAGCATTTCCTTGTTCAGCTGCATTCTGAAACAACTCAACTGCTTTTTGTATGTTTTTTCCCACTCCTGCTCCCTCCCCATAGCAAATACCAAGGCTAATTTGTGCACTAGTATTTCCTTGTTCAGCTGCTTTCTCATACAGCTCAACTGCTTTTTGTATGTCTTTTCCCACTCCTGTCCCCTCCTCATAACAAACACCAAGCTTGTATTGTGCAACAGCATTTCCTTGTTCAGCTGCTTTCTGATACAGCCCAACTGCTTTTTGTATGTTCTTTTCCACTCCTATTCCCTCCTTATAAAAAACACCAAGGTTGTATTGTGCAACAGCATTTCCTTGTTCAGCTGCTTTCTCATACAGCTCAACTGCTTTCTGCATGTTAATGTTCTTTTCAATTTCAATTCCATTCTCATTATTATTGTCATAGTGATAACTAAGACTAACTTGTGCAACAGTATTTCCTTGCTCAGCTACCTTTTGCATGTTCATTTTCATTCCTGTCTTATTATTATAAAAATGCTGGTTAATATCAAATTCTGGTAGCTGGTTCTGGTTTTCCATTATATTTTTTAACCTATTATAGCATTGTTCACTGTTTGGTCTTTTTTCTGAGTCATTGTTCCAGCATTCTGTGTATAAATTTTTATACTCTTCTGGTGTGCCTGGAACTACATCATGGCGACCACCCTTCAATCTGTAAAGTTGAATGTCATTGTTGCTGTTGAATTCACTGCATGGATATTCTCTGCTGGATATTTCCCATAGGATGATCCCAAAGCTAAAAATATCTGATTTTTCATCACGTTTACTGTAATTATCATTAAAGCATTTAGGATCAAGGTATGCATAAGTTCCTCCATGATCTGAGTAAGTCTTTTGTTGCAATATTTCTTCAGATATCCCAAAATCCGCAATCTTAGCTGTTTTCCCGTGAATTAGTACATTGTTTGAAGACTTGTGACAGCATAGAAGCAATAGATCAATACAATTTACATTGAATAAAATGGTACTAATGAGATATACTTACTAAATCTTTATGCAAGATTCCTACTCGATGAATATACATCAATCCATTGATGATATCCAACCCAAGTTGACAGTTAGCAGGCCAATCTAGTTTGATACCTGGCGTTGATAAGTATTCCCGTAACGAACCCTTGTCGGCATAATCAAAGACCATCAAGTATCTTCCCTTGATATCTATTTGAACAATTTGGAAGATGTTATACTCATGCTCATTTTTCTAATACATGAATTTTTGTCATCACTTACCTTTGCTAACGCCAAGAAATCGGATTATGTTGGGATGGTCATCTACTCTACGATGGATCTTGAGCTAGATATAATGCCATGAAACAAATTAAATATAAGAACCAAGTTTTTAGACTCCAGTGCAGTTCCACCATGTTCAATACAGACCTCTTTTACAAAGTATTTCAAGAACTTGTCTTCGTTCGAATATTTGATCATCTTGAAGGCAACCGTAATGCCCGATGTTGCTACCGTTGCTCTGAAAACTACACCGAATGCACCATGGCCTATGCAGTCTTTACCTATTAAGCCATCATAAGAATAGAATCGAATGTATTCACTTTCAATGCTCTTTTCTAACCACTCTTTATCTGAGGCAATTGATGTCATAACTGTTTGTTACTGTTGGGTTGAAGTTCTGCGCATTTTCGAATATTGTTACATTCCGTAACACACACACACAATTGGATTGTATTACATTTCCGCTTTTTGCGACTACGTTAATTAACCAATACAACCTCTTTTAGTTATTCTTTAAACAAAACTATTGTTTGCTCGCATGTAGACACTCAATTAGTAACAACGAGATTTGTTTCGAAAAAATAACACCGTGAAGCTGTCTGTATTGTATCTATGTTTACAAATAGATTTGCTTTCTTATTTCTTTTTATTCTAAAATAGCTTTCTAACTGGTAATACTCATACGTCTGTCAAAGCCGCTAGAACATATTATTATTTCTTTGAATTGAAATTTCTTTTACTTTGAAACTTTCATTTAATTCTTGTTCGTGAGATTCTATTCTCTCACTCGCAATTGCCTTCTTTACAAAATAAATATATAGCCAAATAAAAACTAAGCATCTAGTAAATATGGAGAAACTTTCCGATATTGTCTTGTTTGCCCAGAATAATATTCTGTAATTTAGGGAAAAAATAGATTGAGAAACTATATTAAATCGTTGCATTTATTCAAACATGCTGCGCTGTACACTAACTGCAAAAAGACTTTTCCAGAAAGCGACTTAAAAAATTTAATTCTCTCTCCACAACATGTATTCAGTGTCTCGATTAAAGAATGAAAAGACACACTATTCATTAAATTTATCAGAATTGATTAGAAGATAGCCTACAGAATATGGACCGAAGCTGCTGACATTCAAACAGATAACGCTGAAGATGATAAAGAAGTCATAGTCATATTAATTAATTATCTCAACTAGTTTTTTAGCTACAAATTAGTGGATGGAGACAATTTGCTTGGAATTTAGTTCTTTCAATCGAGGCTTGGCTAACTCCTAATTGCTAATACAGTTAGTGACCTTTAATTTGGGCTTATATACTCAAGATTCATACGCTCGGTCTTGTATACGCAGATTCTCACTGCAGTTATAACCCTACCCTACTGTAGGACGTTCGGAGAACAAAATAATACTGTCTACTAGTAAATATCACCGACTATTTACTGTATATTATACCAGACAATATTAAATATTTTGAGTGATGTTTAAACAGCCCAACTCATTACCAAAAAATACTAATGTTCAATACCAATAGTTTTCCTCTAAAACAACATGACTTATTACCTACATCCAATGAGTTTCTGACGATGCTGTATATGATATTCCAGATGATGACCAACTTATCAGAGACTTAAAGAAGAAATTTACGAGTGCTGCTTGCAAATACCGAAAAAAATGAGAGGTGACTTGTCAATACTAGTATGGGTTAAATTTACGACAAATAAAAGACGCAGTGAACAGATAAATGTTAACGGGAAAAAAAAAGCAGTCAGATGAAACAAACGACTATTTTTCTAAACAGGAAACTTTACGGACTTTTTCTCAGCGGATCCGGATCCCGAACTTATTAGCTTAGTTCGATTTACATGGGGATGGGAATATATGAATGGTGTATGTCGACCAGTTACAAAGTGCGGTGCTATTAGTAAAAAATACTGGAAAATTCGGTTTAACGGGGTAAAATCATTATTGCTGGTTTTGACCCTATCTTCGGTATAACAAGGTTCGTTATAACGGGTTGCCTTTGTATTTAGCACTAATTCAAACTAATCTGCGGAGTTGTGTGAACAATGAGATAATCCTAATGTCATACTGATGTACAAGTGGAATGGTGTTAAACAATATGTTATCTTTCCGTATCTATACATTATAAATTCAGAGATTGTATATATACTTTATTGGCATATATTTTGCCTCGACTACTTGTTACTTCCGAGTCTACAAAACAGTTTCAAATTAGATCTATAATTAGGTTTTAGTTATAATTGTACATCAGACATGATAAAGAGGACTTTTGTAAGCTAACGGTATAGAACTCACACACAATTCGATATTGCGGAATAAAAGCTGGTTGTTATATCGACTTTCATTGTGTATACTGGTATACTTACATAAAATACTAGTTTCCTAAATGCTCATTCGCTATACATTGTCTGGGACCAGTAATTTGTGAATCGACAAAATTAGGTTGGGAAATTAAAGTACGAAGAATAACGTTTAAGAGTTCAATGGAGATAATGTCGATAGCGAAATCAATTCAATTGCGTTAGAATTCAATCTTATCGTTATCGACCATCCACGTCTAGTAATTTATCGAACTATCCTTTTCAACGTTTGACTCAACATCCTTTTCCTATTATCAAAACTACAGCCTTAATTCCTAAGTTTGTTGCGTTCATAATATAACGATAACGACTTGTGGTCTCTTTGGTAATCTAACCGTTTTAGTATTATCATTTGTTAATAAATCTAATTTAGGTTTGATGTCGAGAATTTTACTGCTAAAAATAGTTGTTGAGCAACAAATAGGAGTTATACTGTTATATTGGTAAAGTTTAAACAGCACATTGCGATTATTAGTTTCGAGAAAGTCACTGCGCATTCAACCTCCAACGAATTAACTTTTAAAATTCTGGATCTAACATAAATTGGGGATTGCCGTATTGGTATCAATGTACCCCTGGAACCTTCTTGTTGTTGTCGGCATTACTTCCTTATAAACTCTTTCCCCCGTTTGTGCATAATGCTATCTTGTACAAATATTAATTATAATACGCGCTATCATGTGATGCTGTCGTTAGTGACACTAAACAAAACAAAATCAATCTTTTGGTATGTAATAAATTGCCATCAAATCTAATAAATTGCCATCAAATCAAATCAATCTCAAAGACTTTCTCCACAGACGTTGCTTAAATGTCACTAAAAGATCAATTAGAATCTGCCCTAAAATTGCGCCAACAAAAATCACTCCTGCGTTCGCTCACAACCTTTCCTTCATCCTCTGCAGACTTTTCGTCCAACGACTTTTTAGGTCTATCTGTAAACGCTGCTCTCCACTCTCTTTTTCTTCATCATATAAACACATTCCCCCGTCCACCTCTAGGTTCAACTGGATCCAGATTGCTAGATGGAAACTCAACATATGCAGATGAATTGGATATATTTTTAGCTGATTTTCATAATGCTGAGAGCGCATTGACATTTACGTCTGGGTTCGACGCCAATGTGGGATTTTTTTCATGCGTGCCTCAACGTGGGGATGCGGTTATAATAGACGAATATGTGCATGCTAGCGTGCATGATGGAATCAGGGCTTCCAGAGCAAATTTAGTAGTAAAATTTAAACATAACGATTTAATCGATCTGAAGAAAAGATTGGACGAGGTTGAGAGGAATATTGGGAAAGGGAATAACATTTTTGTGTCTGTTGAGAGCTTGTATTCCATGGAAGGTGATATTGCTCCATTGACCGAGATTGTTGAAATATTGGATGGATACAATGCATATCTTATAGTTGATGAGGTAATATGTAAATTACACTACGAACGATTGAGTTATTTCTATCCTGAAAAGTCCTAATGTCAGGAGATAACAACCAAACGAGTGTAAGAATTCAAACATTATTTTTTTTCTGCCATAAGATGCCCTACTGAAAACAACTTGTAACATAATAGGCGCATGCAACAGGTGTATTTGGACCACAAGGACGTGGACTAACCTCTGAGATGGGATTAGAGAATAGAGTGTTTGCGCGTCTACATACATTTGGCAAGGCATTGGCAAGCAATGGAGGTGAGTAGACATTGACAATGTCAATTCCGGTTGCTCATCGTAACTATAACTGACTGACGCGAAAACCCCATTCTTGATGTTCTTCATGCAGCCGCAATAGTGGGGCCTCGATATCTTTGCTCTTATCTCGTCAATTACGCCAGACCGCTTATATATAGCACGTTTTTACCATACTCGAGCCTTATAAGCGTTAGATGTGCTTATGAAGTTATGTCGGGCGGTGTTGGTGATAAGGTATGATAACTAGTAATCATAATAATATTAGTAATAACGCAAAAGTAACGAGTGCGTCGTTATCAAGTTTACCAATAGAATATCTTACATATAACGGTCGTGCTATTCTGTAGCTCCGACGGCATTTAAGAAAGTTGATACACTTGTTTAGATCGTCGCTTAGAATTCCACCCGACATGCTGCTGCCATCAACGAGTCCCATACAGGGAGTCATCATACCAGGTGAGTCCAAACGACCGTTGCTTTTTCAATTGGCCAGCATTACGTTAAAATGAAATTCTAACGCTATTATTTATAGGAAACGACAAAGTGGTAGAAATGTGCAAACTAATACAAAGTGCGGGGTATAACGTGAAGCCAATTAGATCACCAACGGTTCCAAAAGGGAGAGAGAGGATAAGAATATGCATTCACGCAAGCAATACGGAAGAACAAATTAAAGGACTCTTACGAGTTATTGAAGACTGTGTTAACAAACACATACTCTATAGTGCGAACGTGACCAATCTTCAAAGGCCAAAATTGTAATAAACAAAACGAATTAAATTATTTAACTTCAAATCAGGTGATTTGCACCGATCAAAAAAATCGGAATATAATAATAAATGTTTGTATCTGCGCATTCTTTCAGTTGCTTCTCCCCAACCTGTCATTATCCCGCATTGAGATACCCGACGCAGATACATTTATTACTTCGCGCCTTTCTCCCACGCTATCTCTCGCGAATGTCTCGATCTACATCCGTTTCATCTGATTCGTTAGATACGTCCAAATATAATATCATTTCCGAGGGCAAAGCAAAAATACTTTTCCCAAAAGATAATGAGGTCTTTTATAACAATGTTCAGGAATTTAATAGAGACATTTCGATAGCTGTGATTAAGACATGGAGCGACATATTCTCGGAAGAAAAAGAAGTAAAATTAAGGAAGAGACGCGGTGAAGGTAGGAGTTTGGAAGGGGGTTAGCTTAAATCTTGCATCGGAAATAGGTCTAAGTATGATCATCTGATACCCGGCTAGGAATCGATATACAGGTTACGATAGCTTTCTTATCGTCTATTTTTCCATAATCTCCCTCTCTTGTTTTTTCTATTCTTCTCTTGACTAAAAATCAATAAAACTTTATTTCTTTTTCGTAGCCCTACAAATTCACAGCTATCGAAGCTTTGGCTGCTAGTGGACTTCGGTCAATTCGTTACGCGAAAGAGATACCGAACTTGCGTCATATTGTCGCAAATGACCTCGAGTCTGAAGCAGTGAATTCTATTAAAAGGAATTTAGAATATAATGGAATTAGTGAAGATATTGTTAGGCCTTGTCAAGCTGATGCGAGGTATTTATTGTATGGCAAAGCTAAAGAATAATAGGATGAGGAAACGAGCATGAGTTGAAGTTTGTTGTCAAGTTAACGAAGAGAAAATGGATCATGATTCTCCTATTAACGTTAATTAATTAAATATATTATATGAAAAAGCGCGATGCTATACCAACATCGGACGCCCGATCTTAGATTTGACATGATTGATGTTGACCCTTATGGCACTTGTTCGCCGTTTCTTGATGGTGCCGTGCAGGCAGTTGTAGATGGAGGTAAGCTGATAAAGAGAAGGGGTACCAACGTAGAGATAACAGGGACTCGGTTACTCAATATCTCTTGTTTCTCCCAGGTTTACTCTGTATTACGTCCACGGATGTTGCTGTTCTTAGTGGATCGACCTATCCCGAGAAGTGGTACTTTTCTATTAATATATCTGGTCCATATTTGCATCTTAATTAAGTAGTGACAATAATACTGATCCCAATTTCTATCTTACCAATGGACTTTGAATGAATGAAGCTTTTCTAATTATGGAGCAATGCCAGTTAGAGGCGAATTTATGCACGAACAGGTTTGATTTCTAGTTTGATATTTGCTTACTGTTTTTCCTCCCGCAAGATATTTATTGATTGACGGCTTGACGAAAGGCTCTCCGGATTCTACTCCACGCGATATCTACATCAGCATCTCGATACCAAAGATATATCCAACCACTGGTTTCTCTGAGCATCGATTTCTACGTTCGTGTATTTCTACGCGTTTATTCTTCTCCCATTACTGTCAAGAAAGCTTGTTGGTAAGTACTATGGAATCAGGGTTTTCCCCCCCCGTTAAAAGTCAAAAATTTTAACCGTGTCTTATTTACAAATAGCAAGACATTACAAGCCTACACCTGTTCAGGATGTAAAAGTTTTCATACTCGCCCACTCGGCAGGATGACCGAGAAGAACTCTTTTCTCTCAACGACTGGGCCTCCAGTTAATTCTTCGTGTGAATTTTGCGATGGGAAATTTCATGTATGCTGAAAAGAAAACGTGTTCTACTGTAATATAGTTAATAGTACTTACCCGCTAATCAATGTGTGCATGTAATTTGTACGATGATTTAGATCGGTGGTCCAATGTGGGGCGCAAACTTACATGACCGGGAGTTTGTTAAAAGATTACTAGAAGACGTTCGAAATGCGACCACCGATGATTACAAGACACATTCGAGGATGTTAGGAATGCTGACTTTGGTTTCCGAGGTTAGTCTGCATTTGTAATAATGAATTTGTTGCAAGCTGAACTGCAAAAAGTCATGATGCAATAATTATGTTTAGGAAATAGATTTCCCATTTTACTATACACCATCAGGACTATCGGGAATTATACACTGCACAGTGCCACCATTGAAAACCTTTTGGTATGTATCAATGGTTTTATTTAACAACTGCTCTCAAATCAAATCACTAATGTTGGCAACATTTACTATCAGTTCAGCTCTCTTAAATGCCAACTATCAAGTCTCTGCGTCACATGCGCTAGCTGGATCGGTGAAAACTAATGCCCAACCTGGAGTTATCTGGGACATTATGCGAGGATGGGTTAGAAGCAGATAATAATTTTTTTTGTCCTATCAAAACATGTGCGAACACGTAGTAAGCTGAGAGTTTTTCGTGTAACCCATTACAGGTCAAGCGCGAACCTGTTGTTCAAAAGAATATTACTGCAAACTCACCCTCAAAAAAAATCCTAGCAGTGGAACCCACGTAAGTTTTGTTCTCAATGCATTCAGATTGACCAAGTTTGGAGCATGAGATTCTGACTGAGGTTTTCCGTTTTATAGTCTTGAAGTAGATTTCACTTATAATAAAGAGGCTGAGCCACCGTCAAGGAAGATAAAACTTGTGAGATATCAGATGAACCCCGAAAAAAATTGGGGACCCAAACCACGCGCAGGTCAGAGGAAACGCAAAATGTAAGCATGGAGCTTGTTCAACTTTTTCACTTCGTCATTTTATGAAATGGATCCAACTTATTAAATCTATATTTTATAGCAAAGATAAGAAGGACGGCGAACAAGTAGTGAAAAAAGTAGCGTTGGATGGGAATAAGGATGACGAATCGGTAGCTACGGGGACAGTGTTAGATGAGAAGGATAATGAACTGGTAGTGGATAAGAAAGGGCAGTCGGATGAAATTACGACATGAATGTCAATGTGATAACTTGTATACATCCCGTATTGATTAGGCATATCGCTGATGATAAATTTAATTGGGTCTGCATGTATAGTTGCAATTTTCACGTCAACAATGACAATTAACATGTAGTTCGCCATTTGTTTTTAAAGTGACTTTTGCAATAATAATTTATATAACTCTAAAATTACGATGCTGTAAATGCTTGATGACCTGTTATTGCTTTTCCAATAATTAAAGAATGAATGTCATGTGTTCCTGTTATAAGCGTAAATGAAGATTAGATGCCCGTTCTACGACCAACAATTCTCAACAATTTTCTATTAATATTACCTTCATAAGTATTAGTGGTAACCAAGTTCTGCTCGTGTCTAATTATATGATACTCGTCGCTGATACCATTTCCACCTAAAACTTCTCGCATTGTTCGTGCAATTTCAAGCGCTTTCCCACACGAATTACGCTTTATCAGGGATATCATCTCGGGCGCTATTTTGTCCTCATCTTTCAATCTACCGACACGAAGACATCCTTGTAGACCGAGTGCTATTTCAGTGTTTGCATCAGCGAACTTCTTCTGAACTAACTGAAACCTGGCCAACGGTACTCCAAATTGACGACGATCAAGTGCATATTGACGCGCTTGGGCAAGACAGAATTCCGCAGCGCCAAGAACACCCCATGCGATTCCATATCTTGCATTGTTCAGGCAACTGAATGGGCCCTATTAAAAATACATAAATGTAATATTAAGCTTAGTATGCATCTTAGTTTGAAATAAATTCAAGTCCTGCACGGCTACATACCTTAAGGCCCTCGACATGAGGAAGTATGTTTTCCTCGGGAATTTCAACACCATCCATCATTATCATTCCGGTGATAGATGCTCGAAGGGATAACTTACCCTCAATCGTGGGTGTAAATAGACCTTTCATCCCCTATAGCAAAAATTTAATAAATTATTAGACAGGCTATGTTATATATACTTGCAAAAACATTGAAGTTTCCATACTTTTTCAAGTATGAATCCACGTATTTTGTTATCCTCTTTGCACTTTGCCCAAACAATCAAGATATCGGCAATGGGTGAATTCGTGATCCACGTCTTTGCCCCATTGAGAATATAAGTATGGCCTATCTTTTGAGCATAGGTCTCCATGCCAGATGGATCTGAGCCATGGTTAGGTTCGGTTAATCCGAATGCGCCCACCATTTCACCTTTAGCTTTATAAAATACGAAAATTATTGAGCGAGCAATTTCACTTGAGAAACGCTACCCATACAATGATCATTAGATACCTAGTTTGGGTAAATATTTATCTTTTTGCTCTTGTGATCCAAACTCATAAATCGGATGCATAACTAATGAAGACTGAACGCTCATGGCAGATCTATAGCCACTGTCGATCCTATTAGTTAATGATAGATTCACGTCAGCGATTTGTGAAAAATCTTTGAACACAGTGGGTTTACAATATGTAAGATCTATTGAACGATATGCATTTACGATTACCTTTCAATCTCACGTGCAATAAGACCGTATGCGACCGATGATACACCAGCACATCCATATCCTTTTATCGTTGAACCGAGCAGACCCAATGCTCCCATTTCGTGTAGCACATCGCGGTCAAATTCTATAGCAAACAAGTACTGGTTCATTTGTTATTCATATTTCTCTTCTCCCCATTAATAATTGTATGTGCGTCACTGCATTACTTACGTTCATGACGATATGCTTCTAATATTCTCGGAAAGAGTTTACCATTACTGTATGCACGAGCAGTTTCACTATAGATAACAAGACAATATTAAATAATGATCAACTTGTCATGTAACATATAAATTAAATATTTTTACCGAACAGCTAATTCTTCGTCTGTCAGCTGCTTCTCCAACAATAATGGGTCCTCCCAATTATAAGTTGCTGCAAAAATGTCATATTGGCGAACCTCAAATAGTCGCATACAGTTGTATTATTAAAACTATATTCACCTAAAGACGATTTCCACCTTCTACATTCTCGGAAGTGTTTGGCAGGAAACAAGCGCCTTAAAGTGTTAATAGGAGTGCGAATCATGGGATAATCGAGGAAGAAGAAGAAGAAGAAGTTATCACAGAATTGGGGTAAAAACGGCTTGCTGGCAACCCCTTAACGTTAACAAAGAATTTCAAAAATTTAAAGTATTTCTCAGGGTCATGTGAATTATAATCATCTGACACGGACAAATTTCCTTTTTTTGACTCGAGTTTTATTTTATTTTCTTATTTTTATTCCTCAAATCTTCTGTTGCTTTTGTATGTTTGATACCTAGCAATGATGAGTTATCTACAAAATGTAATAATAATATCAACACATGGATCCCACAAGATAGCGTCTTAATAAATCACAACTTACGCGTCTTCTCATCTAACAATCGATCAGCCAAATCCCTCACGACGCCACTTGTGATGTATTTTGTTGATATACCTCTTGGAATTACTGGCTGCGATAAGAGGGATTTCAACTGAGCTTTAAGTGACTTGATACGTTGCTTCTTCTCTTTCGTTTCGGAAATATCCGTATCGTTTAGTCTACATACAAAAGACTTGTTAGAGCAAATAATTAATTGAGCCCGATCAAGTCAATAATACGTACAAATCTTCATCAATATCAATTTCAAGTTCTTTGGCAGCTTGCTTATACCAGTCATCATCATGACCAACCTAAAGAGGAGAATGTTAAAAACAAAGACCATGTATTTCATTTCAAGATGAACATGTGTCTAGAGAATGCACCTTCTGCAGACGATGCTCCTCGGCGTCGATCTGTTTCGCTAGATTTATGCGTTGCTTGAGTTTCTTTACAATACCATGTTCCACAGGGAAATCGGGCAGTCCATCAGCTGAGCAAATTGAACTATGTCAGGATGTATACACGCAGTTAAAAATAATCTACATATACTCAACCTTTCTTGAGCTTATAACATATCTTTTTATATAAGCTCTGTTCTTCAGGGCTGCAAAGCATTAAACTTATTCCTGATTTATGTGCTCTTGCAGTCCTTCCACTTCTGTGGACATATATCTAAATGCACATCATAGACTTTTGTTAAACTGGTGTAAGATGTTGAACACATTTATTACAACTTACATCTCCCGAGCGAGGTAATTGGTAGTGAATTACGTGTTCTACCATAGGAATATCTAGACCTCTGGCTGCAACGTCGCTAGCTACCATCACTGCTTTGATGTTCGCCTTAAATCTATATATTTAATGTCATATGAAGATAAGACAATACATACAATTCGAATCATTTAATCTTTTTTATACCCACCGGTCCAAATTCTTTAAGCGTTGCTTCTGTTGCATCTGAGCGTGTAGTCCAAGCACTTCAACACCCAAAAGTCTCATCACAGGAACCAACCGACGGATAGCGTCAATACTATTAACAAATATTAAAGTACGACCTGGGTATCGAAGAACGAAATAGTATACATAGGCGTCCTACAAACAGATAATCAATTAATTATTCGTTCCTAAATCTTGTGCATATCGAAACCCACGCCGTTGTACATGTTACTAAGCTTACCTTATCATTAACGGTACAATCAACCTTTGATTCCTCAAGCGATTCCGGAACTATATCATCGGAAGTCACATCCACAAATGCTGGTTGTTCATCTTGAAACTCTAACCTCCCCATCAGCTCTTCCATCGTACCGCTTTTCCCATCTTTATCTTTTTCCCCGTCTCCACTCTTACTCTTCCACCTCTTCTTCTTCAAATCCTCTTTCAAACTAGCATCTAATGTAGCAGAAAACACAAATGTCTGTCTCGGAGGTAAATCAATATTGGCGACTTTTACTTCTGCTCCCCATTCATCTGTATGTACGCGCTTGCGAGAAAGAACCGTCAATATTTGCGAAAGCTCGTTGAAATGATTCTTTTCCAACATGCGATCGGCTTCATCTAAAACGAGAAAACGGATCGAACGGAGACGGTTTAGAAAAGTAGAATCGGCGGAAATTATATCCCATAAGCGTCCCGGTGTGGCAACTATTATATTAGGTTTTTGCAATAGCAGGCGATTTTGCTTCTGAACTGACATGCCACCTACTATTATCATCATCTAAGGGGGAAAAAAGAGAAAGAAACAAACAGGATAAAGTCACTGAGGATGCTAAACAATTGGCAATAAAACTGTGCAGGACTTACCTTCAGACGCGCATGCTTGCCAATATCCTTGAGATGGTCTTTAACTTGGATTGCCAATTCTCTCGTAGGCGCCAGAATCAACCCCGCCAACTCACACTCCCTCTCCTTTTCATTCATTGCTAGTAAATACTGTAGGATGGGAATGCCGAAAGCTAAAGTCTTCCCAGACCCTGTTTCGGCGGTGCCTATGACATCGCGTCCGGATAACCCAAAAGGCAGCGCCTTCTCTTGAATAGGAGTTGGTTTGGTAAAGTTTAGAGACTCTAAAGCTTCCAATATCGCGGGGAAGAGGTTAAAAGTCGACCAAGGAGACTTGTTGGAATCTGCATAAAAGAATAAGGTAAAGGAGGCGTCCGATAGAGTCACAAAAATACAAAAAAGCGATAATCGCCAACTTAACGTGATTCATTAGTTACCTTTCAAGGGAATGTTTTGCTCTTTTGCATTTTGCGTTTTTCCCTTCGCCATCAGTTCGTTGTTTTTGTTTTTTTGTTTTTTTTGAGGTGTCTCTTGCACACTTTCCGACGTCTTCAACTCTCCGTCAGTGTCAGAATCACCGACAGTCTCCCGATCATCATCGTCATTGACTTCTTCAGGTCCGCTTTCATTCATAAGTCTGTCCTCTTGTTTATCCGGATTTTTGCTTTTGCCCGCAGCGCCACTCGATGCATCATCCTGCTCTCCTGCATCCTCCAATTTTGCTAGCTCTTCATTGAACTCATCAAGATCATAGTATTTCTGTGTCTCTTCGACGGATAAGGGTTCCTCGGGCTTTGCAGAGTCTCTTTTATTAGAATTTTTTTGCTTCCAGCCCTTCACTTTCTGATATTGGAAAAAAATTTAAATTTTTTAATAAACTCACTTCTTTATGACCAAGACCGTCTGTCATTCGTGATACAGTCTGACGGACTTACTTTGAATTTTACCACTTTCCCCACTTTATCATTTCCCTTATATTCGATATCAACCCCATCGATCTCTTCAAGACATAAAAATCCACCAAGGTCATCGCCGAGAAATACCGAATCAGGACAAACAACCTCAGACCAGCCCAGATTGCCAATCTCAACAAATTCTTGCTCATCCGTTGATGAGTTTGGGCGACTGTGCTTAGCGAGCTTCGGATTCGAGTCAGACTTTCCACGCTTACGTTTTTTTTGTAAAGATGAAGGATTGGTCGGAGTTGATTCTGTTTTTGTCTTTTTACTAGGTCGAGATGTTTGAAGAGGCTTTGATTCTGAATTTGCCGTCAACGGTTTCTTTCTATATTTTCCCATTATATATAAACTGAGAGAAATTTTGCTGGGTGATCGACACAAAACCTGAACTTTATGTTCGTGTAACTGCGTACTTGGCGCAGTTTTCACACGCGTGAGAAATGGAGTATGACAATACAGTCACGCACGACGTACAGAACGTTCAGTTGTAGATTATATATTTGGTTGGGAACATAGATTGATAAAGTTCAAAGAATCATACGAGTTGAAAGTATAATAAAATACACGTATACGATAAAAATATTTATTCTTGATTTATTAGCTACAAATGTCAGTCAAGTTTATTATGTTCGTCTTTACTAGAGATCTCGTCGCTATCCTCGTTATCTTTTCAAGCAACAACCTCACTCGCGCACGTCTTCAGCCTGTTTCAGCTTCAGCTCCCACAAATGATTATATTTAACCATAGATTTCATAAGAATATAAAGAACTATTCTAAGCAAGAGCTATTATCGAAATAAAAGAATCGCATATACTAAAGATAATGTTCGCCAAAGAAATTTTGACTACTTAAATAACTATTATTTCACTAAACTAACAGGGATTTTCGATAAATCGGGACTCCGTCACTGATTGTGTATGTGTAACTGGTTAAATATCGCAGCTTTTGTGCACCAACGGAAATCATGGATATTAATACGTTATTACCGTTAGACTTGACCTTGACACCAACATGCTGGCCTTCTATTTCTGAATGCTTGCATTTTTCTTTTAGTAATGTGGATCTGAATGAGAGCCTGAGCCATACCCTGATTGAAAAGTTTATTTTTTATTTCAACAAGACTGACAACTGCGTCATACAAGTCCAATGACCCGCGACCGTATTTGCCTTCAATATAATGCTGAACACTTTCCATCAAAAAATATCGCAGTTTTGTGCGTCAAATATTTGCTGTACGCTCTATAAGATGGCTCATTGACATTCACAAATATTGGCTTGTTTCGAAACTTTAGGTCGTCAAAAAAATATTTATTGTATTCTTTCGAATCACGAAGGCCGTAATGCCTACAAAGGTCACGATCAATTTTTGCTTTTATGTGAGATGATAACAAATACCGCATTCAAACTTGGACAAAACTTGGTATACACCAGGTAGTCCAAACAGTTCGCAGACTCCATTCCGCAAACGAAAGCTTAGCAAGAAATCTGATGTTAACATGCGTGTCTTCACGAAATTCATTGTCTTTGATTGTATTTATTTAATCCTACGGTATTATTCCACCGTAAGAGTTATTCAGTTGTTCTGTTGGAACCTTTGACCACATCCTATATAGAGAAAGGTGTCGACTTTTGGTTGTTTATATAGCTATTCTAAAATTTACATTTAGTGATCATGATATTAATATTTAAAGCTTCACGTTTACCATATTAATATAGTTCCGAAAACAAGCACCCCCAAATTTTTACCGACGAAAATAAGCTTATTTTCGTATACGGTATTGCTAATAATTAGTGCAACACAAGTAGCTTACATGTTATGTTATTAACATCAACTCTGAAGCAGCCGGACTGTTTACCAGTTTGATAGTTTATAAGTGCCTTGAAGGACTGTCAAATGGAAGCTTATAATAAGTAAATTTTATTAACTTGTAGCGTGGCTTTGATACGATGATCATATGTTTACATTGTCGATATTAATATGCAAATTTTATTGGTTGTACACGGATAATACACCACTAACATGAAATTAATGTATGGTCTAAATTTCTCATAATAAATGGAAACATGTTAATAATAATAATAGTCCCAAAAGTTCTCTAACTTTATGAACATATTAATCTAGTAGACTTGGTTTGCAACGGAGGAGTAAAGCTGTTGACACCAGAGCCAGTGAAAATAAGTCCTTTACAGTTTTCGCCACTGTAAAATTTGTAAACAACGTTGCTAGGAGCACTGGCCATACTTATGGGATCTGTAGGATCAGTTCCAAAACAGCCAGATTGTCCACTACCGGTCGTATGAGTAAATTTACCTTTGAGAACTAACGTGAAAAAATTTTTATTAGTACGAAAAATACCTTTACATCATAAACAAACTTTATTAATGTTTAATATTAAACTTACCGATTTCACATGGTGTTTTAGCAGGAGCAGCATAGGTTCCAGCAGCCAAACTGGCAACCAAGAATACGAGGATTGAATGGAATTTCATTTTCTCTGTTGTTTTTGCTTGTGAATATGAGTTTAATGATGTACTTGATTGTCCACGACAAGATGTGTGAGCTTGCTGATGATTCCTACGAAGGGTGAGGCAGGTCTTCTTTTTATAAGAATTTGGATGCTATAAAAATAGAAAGTTTTGTAGAAAAGAATTTATAGCACATATCTATTTTTCAAGTTTTCCGTCCAAAATCACAGTAATCGCTAAGCCATAATGGCCTACATGTAATTATAGCGCGCATGTGTTGGCGTTTACTATTTAATTGTCTCTTATACGGTAAAAATTTGCACAGGAGTCAAGATGGCGATTTTTTTTTAAAAATAGGTACCTGCATAATTGATCATTATTAGTAATGAAAGGTTGGGCATCGTAATCTATTTCAAGCAACAGCATATTTCTGATAGTGATCACCAGGGATAAAGTTACACAGGTATATATATATGCACTGATTGGATGATTTTAAATAACGGCACAATTTCTTATTAGGAAACTGGGACCCAAACTTACTCTGTTTAGACTAGCTTTTGGTATATAGCCCATTGTATTGTCTCACTGTTATTTTTATCAGCGTATCTCTCTAATAACTCCAGCAAGCCGACATCACATGATAACAGCGCTTGTTGCAATACGAATTGCCCGGCCAATTCATTACTCACACAGCAAGGCATAATAATAAGACAAAACAAAACGACACAGCTTACATTTTAGCTCAATAATATATCTTATCACGTGATATACACACTTAGAAGATTTATGGAAAATCGCATTTAATATTAAAGGGTGTATGCGATTAAAATCCAAGCTAACAACAAACATTGCTCGTAAAATCAGCGTAACTGTTCATGCACATGCGTCAAAGCGTTGGTTGGGTATATAGTAAAGCCAAATGTGCGGCAATATAGAGAGGGAATTAAGAAAAAAGAACGAATTTTATATGTCGCATATCTTGCTATCCAGAAAGACTGTTACTATCGCTAAGGATTACCTAATTCAGAAGACACCCTAGCTTGTATTTCTATGTAAAATGGACAGGGTTATCTGTATGATAAAGTCATATATCCAGAATGTATTTATTGCGCTTGATAGTGATCGCAAGGTTACTATATACTTTATTTGACTACAACATTGAGTACTTGGATAAAGGTTTAAATATAACACATCGTTTTTTACGAAATCGAGCGGGGAGTTACAACAAACTCCGTCTTTAGATATATTCGTCCAAAATGTTTATATATTCCTGATGTCAGTTTACATAGAAATTAAAAGTCTGTGTTATTTTTATAAAACAAAGGCAGAACGGACATTTATTGAATGCGACCAAGTCTTCCACTTGCAAGATGTATCCATTGACGTCCTTCTAATTTAAGGCATAACCATATTAATATTACTGATTAGTATTAGTATCAAGTAGAAAACAACATGATGGAATTACACGTGCAATCATTAAGAAGTCCGCTATAACAAATCATACATACTATTATGGAACTCGTGCTATAATAGAGTTCATCGGTTTTGCCTACTGTTGATCTGTCATGGTTTAGGAAATTGCGCACAATTGCTTTTCGTGCAACAGTGGTTAGGATGTGAGACTGCTTACAGAAGTGAGTGCGAGGCATTGTAATAGCAACAACAAACATGGCCTCAAGCCAGTCTGCTAAGGAATGGTTAAGAAAAAACATTGAAGACGGAAACATTCGGTTTTATTCTTTCGATGACTTTATTAACCAGTTGTGTATCGGTGGCGGAGGATATGGAATAGTTTCAAAGCCAAAGCGAAGTCACTTGGTAGAACGGTGGCATACAAGCTTTTGCATTCACAAAATGAAGATGAGATGATCGAAAACTTTGTCAAGGAGGTTGGTAATATAATGGCGACTTTATATTTGGATTTATTACTTTACTTAAACCACCCAAACAATACTTCTAGCTTAAGATTCATCGCAACGTTAGTGATCATCCTAACATAATTCGATTCCTTGGCGTGAGTAAAGGTAATAGTAAGCATTGAGGTGTCATTATGGGATACACTTATCGTTATTACTATATGACATTAACAGAGACTTAATGATTAGATACGATTAACAGATATGTAATGGTCTTCAAGTACGCCGACAGTGGTTCGTTACAATCTTACTTATCAGACCCATCTGTTGAATTGGACTGGCCTAAGAGATGCAAACTTGGTATCAATATCGCTAATGGCCTGAGGTATCTTCACGAGCGCCGTATTATACATAAAGATTTGGTAATTATAGATGTACAGAAATCAATATTATACGTTCAGAACGCTCTATAATATAATAATTGACGATTTTATTATCATTTAGTCTTCACATAATATAATAATAATGTATTGATTCATGCTGGCGTGGCAAAGATAACAGACTTTGGTTTGTCTGACCTGATCTTACAACAAAAAAGCCATTCAAACATTAAAGGAACCCTTCCATATCTTGACCCCAGATGCTTAATTGACCCTTCTACTAAACGTGATGAAAAGTCAGATATATTTAGCTTTGGAGTGGTATTATGGGAAATCTCTGGTGGAAAAAGACCATGTGATGGCCTCCAGTATCATAATGACATTGTAAATTATAGACTAAATGGTGGCCGAGATACTCCAGTTTCAGGAACTCCTGAAGTATATATCACAATATATTCAGAATGTTGGGATGATGCTCCTGAGAAAAGACCATCTTGTGAGCAGATTTTTGATAGATTAAGCATAATAGGTCAAATAGCAACAGTTTCATTTTCTGATGAGTTGTCAAGCAAATACCAAGGAAATGCTACTGCACAGTATAATCTTGCTGTTTCTTATCTACATGGAATTGGAGTA